TTTGCTGTAATTTATACCCTAAAGCTGAAGGGTTTTTTTTTCTATTTAAAAACGTGAAAAGTTTTAGAAAACTGGCGTATTTACCCCTATGATTTATCTGAGTTGGTACAATCCTTGTATTCTGACACACTGCGCATGTGCAGGTTGTCTATAAGCGTTTACCATGGAAATGCCACAACAGTAAAGATGTACGGAAAATGGTCCGAACCTCCGCTGTTAAGACATTACAAAAATAATTCCCCAACATTATTAAAACTTCTCCAGGTCAGAGTGAAGAAATGCGTCCAAACTAGATCTAATGCAATGGAGAGGAGAATATGAAGCTTACGAAGTCTGGAAAGCTGAAATTCTTCATCATCACATTTTAATTAGTGCCAGGACTTCATTTCGATTAATAAATTACAATCTATTACACAGATTATTGTATTTTTTTAAATACAAGCCTGTCAGCGAAGAATAAACTTCAAGAATAAACTGGCATCTTAATGCTAAACATGCTAGCAGCAGACGCTAACGCTAATGTCAGCGTCTTCATTTCTAGAAGCTCCAGAACCTGAATAACATTAACATTTTAGTTGGAATGGAAACGTATTCAATAATTTGGCAGGAAAAGGGATTTTGGATTGAAAATATTGCTTATTTTGGATAAAAATGCATTTAAAATGAATGAATATATTTTATTAGTTCAGGCGTGACGAGACTTCAAGACAATGACTTTGGTGTAACCGATTTTATTTTTTAAATGTACACAAACTAGACATTTTAGTATGGTTAACTTCTGTTCCTCCATCTTTAATTATTTAGGCTCATTTCTGCTCAGCTCTGACTGTTAATGTTCTGGTTCTGACCCATTTGGACCGGGCTGGAGATTTTTTTCTGTTGGAAAAACATAAAAAATAAACCAAGAGAAAATAGAAGAAACGACGCAGCCCTCGTAGCTAACTTGTTTTCTTTTATTTGCACGTCCACTGAGTGTTAACAAACCCAACACAGAGGTTAGCATCCAGGTCTACAGCAGGGGGCGCTCAAACACACGAAAGCTCTGAGGACAACAGATAGGAAGGAAACCAGCGAACAAATTCACATCTGTACAAATCTACAGTCTGTTGGTCTGCAGGGAGCACCGCTCACAGGAAAGCCGTTCAGCTTCAAAATGTTCAGGTGAGGCGCAAATTTACACGAGTTAATGTTTGTGGAGCAGCTGCGGCTGGATTAACGTTAAACTCAGATTAAACTCTGCATCAGCAGTCAGCGCTAAACCCAAACTGTGGCTTCTCTGTTCACAGAGCCAAGCGGGGAAATGGCGCCATCTGGTGGCGGATCGCTCACAAGGGTAAACAGGGAGGAGGGAAGGAGCCGGACTGGGTGAAGCAGAGTACAGATGAGGCTGAGTCCCCAGGAAAAGGTCAAAAATTCATTTATCTGCGGGATAAAACTTAAAACCCGGATAATAAAGTTCAAAATAAACACAAATAAACTGCTAATCTTAAACAGCCTGATTAAAATCTGAATATATTCAGGAGTTTTTAAGTCGTTAGTAAAGAAGGGCGCCCTCTGGTGGGCTTGTTTATTAATGAACTGGGATTAAAAACAAACGGGAAACATCCAGAGGTTTTACTTTAGACTTTCGGTAACTCTTCGTATAACAAAACATCTGCCATAAACATGAAGGAGTCTTCAGAAATGTCTACGGCTGTTGTCATGAAGTGCCAACTTTTCATTAAATAACTTTCATGCAAAGTAGCCTTAAAAGTCCATTAAACGTGTCAACTTTGCATCAAAAGTGTAATTGATTTAACTGGTTGATTTAACTGGACCTACTGCTTCCTGGTCTGAGCGACCAGAACCCACCTGGGACTTGTTTCCAGTCCAGAACCACTCTGACATGTTTCCTTTTTATCTGGATTAAAGGGGCGTTTTATGTAAAATCAACTTTTTTGATGTTTCCGTCATGTTATAATTTTATCCTCATCAGAAACAAACCTGGAGTGTTGCTTTGATTCTTTCATGAATCTTTTAATCTCCATGGCAACCATTCAGCTGCGCAAAACATCTGGTTGGACCTAGCCCCGCCTCCAAGATGCAGCTCCTCCTCCACTCCTTCAGACTAGCCAGAAGCAATTAGCAAACACCTGCTGAGCTCATAGGAGCTACTTCTCAGAGCAACGCTGGTAAAAATGTTAAAGGTTTAACAGAGGAGCCATGTTGGGATGACTTCCTGGAGGCGGAGCTTCAGGAAGATGAGGAGTTTTTAAAAAGACGGAGGCCCAATTTCAAGGCGTTAAATTTGGAAGTTAAATTTGACAGCATTTTGATAACTGAAGTTAAAGTTACTTGATTATATAAAATGGCACCGGGTGCCCCGAAAATACATAGTACCAAGCCTTTAAATAAAAAACAGCAACATTCTCATTGTACTTTACAGTTTCACTGTTTTCTAAATGATGAACCCAAAGACAGGCAAAGGCTCCTCTGAATATTCATCCTGACACCATCCATCAGTTCCCCAGGTTTTCATGGTTGGTTTGTCATTTTTTGCAATCAAAATAGCAAATTTTCTGATGCTACTTTTTTTCCTTCCAAAAACTACATATAGAAGAAAAAACCCAATAGGAAGCAAACAGATCGCACACGGAAACACCTGTATCCGTTAAAGAACTTTAAAAACGGGATTTTTCTGACTCGTCTTATCCTTAACCTGACATTGAGTAAGAAACACCGCCCCCTGCAGGTGGGAGTTAGCATCACTTAAACCCAATGTTTATGATGATTTTCTTTTGCAGAAAATTTGTAATAAACTCATAATTAGAGAGAAAGTATGTGAGGATCTGATGATTCAGTGTGAATCAGGAAGAAGCTGTGGGACTGAAACAGTTAAAACAAGGATCACAAGCAGATCCGAGTGATTTTGGTTGAAGATGTTGAGTGGAACATCTGGCCTCGGCTTCAGCCTCCAGGATAAATCAGGTATGTTACATCAGCTGGGATCAGTCCGCAGGTTTTCGCTGCAGCACTTTGGGGCTGGGACGCGGCCGGGATGAAACCCAGCATCTTTAGGATTCTGGGAAAGTTCTGGAGCGGGACAGAACCCGGACCGTCGCAGGCGGGGAGCATGCTGAAAACAGAGGGAGTTTTCTCTGCGCAGTGGAGCGTCGCAACGTCGGAGGATCTCTGCAGCTCGGAGCTTCACAGACATGCAGCGAGCTGCAGGATGAGGGGAGCCGTTTCTTCTTCTTCTTTTTAAATCGCGTTGGACCCGCCCTCTTTTCTTTTCAAATGAAACTGCAGGATTTTTTCTTAAACTTGCAAAACGTTTTGGTGGCAAAGAGATAAAAGAGACGGAGAGTTGGACTATCATCACAGCGGTGTGTGTGTTGCACATCTGGTTACGTGTGTGTGTGTGTGTGTGTGTGTGTGTGTGTGTGTGTGTGTGTGTGAGAGCTGTACACTGAGTCTTTGTTTCCCAGTAGGGATCACTGGTAGAGTCTCAGTTGCTTCCTCCTCCTCCTCTTCCTCAGAAGTCGCTCAGGTTGTGCCACTTGGAGATCTGCCTGCGCGGGTTTTCACACACCTCCCGCCAGTGGGAGGCGCCAGAGGGGCAGGGGCTGTGCAGGCCCAGCAGCAGGCGGCCCAGGACCTCGTTCTTGGTGGTCCGGTCGAAGTCCACCACCAGGAACTCCACGGAGACGTCGGGCAGCAGTTCGGGCGGGATGTCGTAGATGAAGGACTCGTTGAAGACCGGGTTCAACGTGCATTTCTTCACGTGCGTCTTCTTCTTGGCGATGCGCTTACGGCCGTAGAAAACGTTCACCTTCACGTACGGATCTGAGCGTAGAAGAAGAAGAAGATGAGCTGCAGAGGATCAGGATAACACAACCTGCCCTTCCTCTTTATTACACACTGGATTTAGACAAGACAGAAAAACTGGTTTTATTTTCAGCAAATATTTATATTTTAAATGTCAAATTAGAATCAAAGTAGAAAACAAGTGACGCCTTTTTGACAAAAGTGGAATAAAAACCAAACTAATGAAGAAATGCTATATATTAATTTTAAAGGTGAAACAAAATGTGTATTTTTATTATGTTTTTAAAATTTATTTAAGAGAATTAGGACTCAAAATACGAGCATAGAGTCATAATTTAAGGACAAAGTTGCAATAGAGATTAAAGAAAAATATGAGAATAAAATTGAAATATTACAAGAATAATGTGAAACTATAGAATTAAGTTGCAACACCAGGAAAATAAAGTCATAAGAATACAAGAAAGTCGTAACATTACGAGGATAACATCGTTAATAATAGGAAAATAAAGTCGTAATTTCTCTTTAAAATGACTTTATTCATAATTTTATATCTTTTTTCTGCCAATATTATGAGTTTATTCTTGTACTATAAAAATAATCTCGTAATCTGGCTCCGTCTGTTGTAGTTTCAGAAACTTCTTGAAGAACCTTCATTATTCCTAAAACAAAAACGCATCAGAATCAATCAGCCATGAATTTTACTTTCCTGCTCATTTCTTGTTTTGTGTTTTTGCCATGAATATAAATAATCATGAGAGGAGCATAAAACTGGACTAATAATGAAAACCTGAGTTACAGTTGGGTTTTAAAAGTTCGTGTTGAGCGAATGCTAGCTGAGCTGGCTCTGGTTAGTTGGTTGCTACCGATGGCGACAGGATGGATAATAAAACCCTTCAGATCTAGATTCATGTCTGAGGGAGAAGTCCTGTGTTGAACTGCTGAGTGTCTCCCTGGTTGGACTCACTGGCTGACAGGCCCGTCATGTCCATCTTGGGCAGATGTCTGGCCTTCAGGACGACCACGCTGAGGCGGTGGGACACGGGCTGGTAGGACAGCGAGGCCAGCAGCTCGCCACGACTCTCACACTGAGAACACAGACCGAGAGGATGAGGACCAATAATCAACCTTCACCACCAATAATCAGATTTTACCACCAATCATCAGCCTCCCCATCAGTTCTTCCAGTGATGAGTAAAAATCTCCTTCTGTGAAGTTTTTAGTTTGTTTTAAACACCCCAGATGAATTTTAAACAGTTCTGTTTGTGTTTTATGTTGGTTCAGTTCCTGAACCTCTGATTTGACCCAGTCGGTTCTGATCAGAACTAAAATCAGAGAATCTGTTCATATTTCTGTCTGAAGCAGAGCAGCTGACCGAGCAGCCCGGCTCCATGCTAACGCTAAGCTAACAGCAGGTTCCTGCTCACCTGCATGTTCCTCTTGGTGATCTGCTGGCTCAGGTGGACCCGGCCGGTGCTCGGGTCCACGCCCTTCAGCGGGACCACGGCCTCTCCGATGACGTCATCGCGGGCGAAGCGGTCGAAGCTGAGCACCAGGAAGTGCAGCGTGAGGTCGGGCAGCGCGCTGTAGGCCACGCCGTAGAAGGTGAAGGTCTCGTCGAAGATGGGGTCCAGCGTCTTCCTCAGCACGCGGGTCTTGACGCGGTGCTTCTTCTCCGGCAGGATGGTCATCTTCACGTAGGGGTCCGAGCTGCCGGCCTGCTCGTCCACGGCGGGGAGGCCCCGGGCCCCCACCACCGTCACCACCAGCGCCTTCTTGGGGAAGTTGTAGTCGACGCTGAGGCTGATGGAGCCCAGGTTGGGTTCTAGTTCTGGTTCCGGTTCGGAGGAGGCGGGGGTGAAGGGCGACGCCGTCTTGCTGCTGGTCTGGCTGCTGGCGGCCGAGCTGCTGTCCAGGCAGCAGTAGTCGGCGCGAACCGGCAGCGCCCTCTCCAGCCGGGCCTGGCTGTGGGCGGGGCCCGACCCGGAGGGCGGGACCAGGTGACTCATCTGCAGCTGGCCCGGGACGTCCAGGATGTTGTTCTCTGCGTCCACCAGGACCATTCCTCGGCCCGCCGCGCCGCCGGCCGAACCGCCGCGCTCGCCGTCACGCTCCGACCGGTCGGCGCGGCGGATTCCACGGACGATCCGCTTGCTGCCGCTGAGGGATTCTGGGTAAATGCTGATCCCCTTCAGCATGTGGATGAATTTGTACGGGGGGTCCTCTGCGTCGCAGTATCGGTCGCCGTGCAGCTTGTAGCGCCCGGTAACCCGGAGGTACCGGCGCTGACAGAACGACCACAGCAGGACCAGAACCACCACCACCAGAACCAGGACACCAGCTCCAAGGAAGCCCGCCAACACCGGGGACATGGCTGGACGGAGACACAGAGGACAGTTAGAGGTCATTCAATAAATCATGTTTTCAATTCCAATATATCCAACAGATATTGTGCGACACTGATGAAGGTTAGACGTCCATCAGAGCATCATCAGCGTAAAGACGCAGTGGACAGTCTGTCAACGCCTCGACCCCGACGACACGAATGTCTATGTGGATGATATGTGGATGTACCGTCTGCGTACCGTCTGCGTACCGTCTGCGTACCGTCTGCACAGTGACAGTTTCCTTTAATTAAATGAAGGAAACTGGAAGTAATTATCGTTGCTCCTGTAACAGGAGATCTTTGGACTCTTTGATGTTTTGGTTAAAGCTACTGTTAGAAACCTTGGGTTGACCTTTGACCCTGGCTTTAGGCTTGAAAAATCATGACAGACCTCTGGTTCCATCCTGTTTTTGTTTCTTTTCATCTGGATTTTTGTAACATGAGGACAACTTCAGTATTTAATCAGTAGATGAATCCGATATGTTTGGAGAAAGAAAACTTAAACTGGGAAGATTTTTACGTTGAAAACAGGAAAATAAAGCTGGAAAATGACTGAACCAAACTCTGCATGGAAACTACTAGTGAGGATTTAACTGCTCAGAGTTGAGGAAGATGGTGATGATGAAGAGGAGAGCAGGCCTTTGTTTACAGCATACAGTGCAGCCTTGTTGTCCTGATGCGCCTCATGAGACTCACTGCTGCAGCTTCACTGAGACCTGCAACAACCTGACTGCAGCGCGGAAATAAAACCAGACGAACGGCCGATTTAAACGTGTAAAAAATACAAAACTGCAACGTTTCAAACTCATCTGCATCAGAATAACACAACCTGCAGCCGATCGCTGCAGCCGATCGCTGCAGCCGATCGCTGCGTTGCTGCAGCCATTAAAAGCCTGAAAGCTTTCCTCCGTTTCCGGCTTTCATTCAGACTCCAGCGGATGATGTCATGTTTGGGAAGAGTTGAAACAGCTCAGCTCACTGCTTAGCAACACACACACACACACACGAGCTGAGAGTATGTGTGTGTGTGTGTGTGTGTGTGCGATTCACTGATTCTGCCGCTGAAAAACCTCCTGATTCTCTGTAATGTTTCGTTTGAGTGAAGTAGTTTCTGATTGGTTGGATGTTGTTTTGGGCCGGATCCCACCGTCTCAGCTGCAGTATGCTTCTCCAAAATGTTCATTTTTCTCAAGACGATGAAAACATAATTTTACATCAAGAAGATGATTTTCACAGAGCTGTCAGCTGAAAAGTTGTTATATTTCAGAACTTTTCCACCATATTTATAATGAATTATTCAAAACATTTCCTGAAAATGATTTTGTTCTGCTGCCGCTGATCCGATTTAAACCTGACCAGAGAGGGTGTGATAACTTTCTGTATTCGGTCCAGAATTGATCAGTAACCTGTTAAAAATCAGATTTTACTTCTTGTTCCATGAATGCATCAGAACTCCCAGGTTTCTCCTGGTCTGTAAACGCGTCATTAAACAGCTTCTACTTAAAGCAGGGGAGCAAAAACTTTTCGTTTTAGGTAATAATGTGCAGAAATATTCACACCCCATAAACTTCACATTTTCTCTCATTTCTGTGGAAGTTCATTTCCACAGACAAGATTTTCCACCATGAAAGAAAAAATAAAAACTCAACAGAAAGTCACCATTTTGAGATTTTAAACCATAATTAGAGACATTATGGGATGACTTGGACCACTGCAGATTCATAAGTTAGAATGGCCTAGTCAAAGTCCAGTCTTAGCTGATGTTCTCAGATGTTCTGCTTCAAAGTTTCATTAAATATACTGTAACAAACACTTAAACTGTTCAGCGCTCTGAAGTCTGGCTGGAAGATTATTCATGTTGCACAATAATGCTAACACCTATGCTAATGCGATGACATATATGCTAAGCTAAGCGCTATTTTTAGCTGTGGAAGGAGAGGTAGAGTTACAAAATGAAGCTTGCTAAAAAACGATTAAAGTGTGGAAACATTTTAAGCTAAACTGGAACGACAGTAAAATTAGCTTCTACGATAGCGCGCTGTTAATGTAGCCGAACAGGAAATAGCCGCTGCAGACATCCAAGTTGACCGCAGTCGATGACAGGCGCCGTTTATGTTGGCTTTGTTGGGCACGTTTACCTGAATGTGAGATAGTCTGTCATGTTCCACATGTAGGACTAGGAGGAATGCTACATGTAGCAGCTCGTAGCGGTTAGCTGGCAGGGTGCTAGCTAACAGGGTGGGAAATGTAACAAAAGAAAACTAGTGTGAAATAAAGCAGCAGATTGATGGCATGAGATGAAACCTTCTATTTGTTGCTTTTATCTTAATTTAAATTAAATATGTAGAGTTTATATTTCAAGTTTAAAGTATTTGCAGTAGTTAGTTGGATTTAATAAGAGTTGAAACATTTTAAGCAATAAAATCTAAAAACTGAGTTAATTTACTTAAATGTTCTTTTTTGTGTTTTGTCTTTAAGTCAGAAAAGAAGCTTGAAGTCAGAACCTGACTTTATTTTGTCCAATTAGTAAATTACTAAAATAATTGCTCGCTGCAGTGCTATGCTAAACTGCCACAATAAACTGAGCTTTCTGGCTCTGCAGAGCAGGGCTTCCACTTCGACACCCCAAGTCTCTCAATCCAGGGAGGATTAATCATCCATCGCTTAATAATCCAGGATTTATGTTTTTCTTTAGCAGCTTCAACATCAGAAATGAGTCACTTTAACCTGATTTTAGGTTAGAAAACCAAACCTAGAACTAGACCCATGCCCGGATCGGCCCAGGTTCCCTGGTTTAACAGACCTGTTTTGGATTAAATGATCCCTAATCTCATCTCCGTCCAATGTCTTCAAAGACCAAGCAGCAATGACTTCATAGGACAAGGGCGCTTCAGAAATTCAGTTTATATCAGTATTTACTGGATTGTTCAAGATTCTGCTGTTTAAAATGAATCTGGTCCGGTTCTGGACCGCCTCATCCCCAGAAAACAGATTATTCCTCCGCGTCAGCAGCGACAACTCCAGCGGGACAAAGATGGGTTTATAAGGACAGATCATTCCTCTGTCGCAGGGAACAGACATGACGTCAGCCTCTACCCACCCGTTACTGGCACGCGACGCGCACGCACGAGAGGGCGGCAGACTGTGCGTGGGAACGCGCCCTGTTTTTTTTTTTTTTTTTTTTAACCCACCCGAGTTTGGGCTGTTTTTAAACCATCCGTGGGGTCGAATTGACACAATCAATCACGTCACAAATCAATAAACGTTTCATGTTTAATTCTTCAGGAATGATGACGCTGTTCCTTTGAAATGTTCCTGACAGCAGGGGAGCCTCCATGATCTATCCATCATCTACACGCAGGTAAACATTATTAATGATATTCTGATCATGTTTAAAAATCACTAGCGTCAAACTCAGAGGAATATCCAGGCCTGGAGAGGCGACCTCAACGGCTGCAGGTGATTTATCAACATGGCACGGATCATTTCCCTCCTAAACACCTGATGTTTTCCCCAAAACGCTTTTAAAACACAAATTACACACATTTGGAGCATTCAAAAAGGAGAGTTTTGGTGTTAAATTGCGAAAAGGATCGGACTCCGGCCCGGTTCTCACCGTAGGCGGGTCCCAGCTCGATGATGTCCGCCATTTTGTGGTTCAGAGGAGGCTTGGATCCTGGCCGAAAGAAGCGCAGAGATGGAGGAGGAACCGACTCGCTGCCGCCCGCTGTTACTTCACATCCATAAAGGAGGGAAACCAGCAGGGAGGAATCACCGAAAACACGCCTCTGGCCCGGGGGAAGGAAGCCTTCATGTGTCCGCTGACGGAGCAGCGTCGGTCCGCTCAGTCCGCCTCGGTGGGTCGATCAGTCTGATTCACTGCGCAGGGATGCTGGGGATGCAGGGAGACTGCGCGGAGCTGCCGAGAGGAGACTGCACGAAGATCGTCTGTGCGGGGTAATGACTCACTGCGTGGAGAACGATAAGGTTGTTTTTCTGAAATGAAGTTACAATAATTTTTTTTTTATTTTTATTACAGGTTTCAGTTAAGTAATTAAGCTTACACTATACGATTAATTTCATTTTAGAATAAATAAAGTATGTTTGAATTGAATTATCCAACAATTAGTGTTTGTGTTGGGCTGCACAGTGACACAGTTGGTAGCACTGTTGCCTTACAGCGAGAAGGTCCTGGGTTCAATTCCCAGTCTCAGGTCTTTCTGCATGGAGTTTGCAGGTTAATTGGTTTCTCTAAACCAGGGGTCCCCAAAGTCAGACCTGGAGGTCCAGCATCCTGCATGTTTCAGTTTTCTCCCTGGTGGTAGTAACAACCTTTTCAGCATGTCAATGTTCCTCTTAGGCCTCTAATGAGCCATCATTGGATCCAGGTGCGCTGGAGACAGCAGCAACCCTCCCGACCCCATAGGGACAAGCGTGATGGAAAATGGATGGATGGTGTTTGTGTCTAGATCAGGGCTGGGCAATCCTGGTCCTGGAGGTCCGAGTCCTGCAGCTCTAACGTCTCCCTGGTCCAACACACCTGAATCCAGCAGCTGAATCTCCTCCTCAGTGCAGTCAGGTTCTGCTAACGGCCTCAGTGTTTGACTCAGGTGTGTTGAAGTTGAGACATCTAAAAGTTGCAGGAGGCCCTCCAGGCCTGGAGCTGCCCCAGAATAATATATTTTTATTCGTGACTGTGTTTGAGTGATTACATGTATGGACACATTAATATTAATTGTATTAACATTTATTTTAATCCCCTCAGGAAGTTAATAGAAAAGACAATATACAAAATTATGTTTTTGTTTTCTGCTTTTATTTTTCTAAAACTTGAGATTATACTTTTCTATAAACAACAGAACAACACTTGTTATATTTACTGACAAGCTTTAGGTAATTTCTGATTACACAATTGGGCTATCACTTTTTTCCTTAAAGCCAGGATTGATTTGGATAGAGTTTTCCCCCATGATAAATTAAATCATCATTTGAAAACAGCTTTTTATATTCATTCAGGTTATCTTGACCCAATATTGATATTTATTTGATCATAAAGGGGAGGAACGTTTTCACAAGAGCTTGTTTGTATGAAAGAGTGATTCTATCATTTTCAGCTTTCCTGACAAAAATAATAAAAAAAATAGACAATTCTTTGACAATACAGCTCCAGTCTTTGATCAATTTGTAGATTATTGATTTATTTGAGACATGCTTGATATAAACCCTCTCTTCTTACTTATATTTAATTTGTAAAAAGGTATTTTTATTTTGTTAAAATCATTTTTATGGAGAGTGTTTGCGTTGGTGATCGGTGTCTGTCGTCTTCAGAAATGTGGTTGGAGTGAGACATCCCTGCAGCCTCCTCTCCTCCCTGAAATGGTCCTTCAGGAGGAGACTCCGCCCCCTTGTGGCCTCACGGATGTTAGATAATGACCAGGAAGTGCCCTTATTTGTCCATGAACGGGACTTAACTGCTGCAGAAATGTAACTGGTCCTTAGTTAAAAAATAAAAAAAGTTAACATTTAAAAAATAAACAAACTGACTTTAATTTACTTAAATACACTAAAAGAAGATTGAAATAATCCAAATTTAGAGGCTGAAATCAACCAAAGGAACATCCAACCTAGGATTATATCATTGAGAGAGGGAGAAGAGAGAGAAGCACCATTCACTCCTTCATTCACACACATCAACAAAGCAGCAATGACAAAACTTCCTATCCGCATGAGGATCTGCCCTTATGGGGTCTCCTCAATCAGAGAGGGGCTTTAGAAGCACCTCTTCTTTCCTAAGAACTTTACAGATTTTTAGCCAAAACGCCATTTGACAAGGATTCTCAAACCTCTAGATATAGCTCTTTAAAATTCACCTACGTTTCTGTCGTTTTCGTGTCATCCTGTTGGATCTCATCACTCCGCCGTTGGCAGACAAAGTCTACGTCGCTGACCCAGCGAAGAATTTTGCCTCCTGGATCTTTCTTCCCAGGTCCTGTTGACTCTGGCCGTGCACGGTTTCAGCGCGTCTTCCTCTGCCTGACAGTGATCGGGTATGAGAGATCCTGGGTTTCGGCACCAAAAATGATAGGTATTTTTCTTGAACCTACTTAAAAGAACCACAGACAACGTATATGAATTTTATGGCCAAACGCTTGCAAAAGGAGAAAACTCAGCAAACTGCTCCTCCGAGTCGTTCACAGAGCGTTCTGCCCTCTCTCTGCCAGAGCCTTTTGTTTGGGAAAACAAAAGTCAGGAAAGATAAAACAGATGGCAGCTCCATCTAACACTCAGGTCATCAGGCTCTTTCCCTTGAGAGCCATTTCTTCCAAGGGTGGAGGGAACAATCAGTTCACAGGAACACAGATAATCAACACGGCGATCAAAAAGTTTTAGCACATCACATCACTACTGATTAACATTAGACTGAATATTGATTAACATTAGACTGAATATTGATCTAAAGTAATAATAAAAATGATAACTAAAAAATCTCTAACAAGTGGCATTCCTGTTTTATTAGTTTCTAACAGTAAATAGTAGCTGTTCACATCATATTTTTTGTTCTGGCTGTTTACGTCTGAGCTGCAGGTCTTCTGGTAGAGGTAAAGGCTCCCGGTGATGTACACCGGGCCCTCGTCCCGCCTGCTGGCCTCCACCTGAGGGTCCAGCATGTAGCGCTCCACCTTTTGGACGGCGACTCGACTCCACAGCCCGCCATCCTCCAGCAGCTGCAGCTCTCCCTCCAGATTTGTACCAAACTCTTTCTCAGCTGAACTGTGGTTGCCTCTCGCCAAGCAGATTAAACCTCCTGTAGAGAGGAAATGGACAGTTTTTGGGTTTCCAGCATTCCTGCTGGTGCTACATGATGTCAGCACCTGGTTTGGCTGCGTCGCAGAGCTCCCTGATTACGCTGACTGGAGCAAAACCAACGCCGAGGCCCCCGACCAGAATCACGAGATCAAACGTACCTGGAACCAGCAAAGAGGAAGAGTGTGAAACCTGAGCCCTGCTGGGTGTGTGTGAAGCAGGAAGGAGATCAGCAGTCACCAGTCTGAGCAGGAAGTGGTTCTGTTCCCAGCAGGGCTTGTTGGGGCTCCTGGTAGAGTTTGGTCTTTGCAGCTTCCTCCAACATTCGTTCGCTGCAGTCCACTTCAACAAAGTTCCTGAATCCCAACTTAAACATCTGAAACGAGATATTAAAGTTTGACGTCATAAAACTGAGCTAAGGAAATAAAAATCATTTCAATGCAACGTTCTTCTCCTTCCAGGTGGAGAAACTCCAGTCCAACCTGTAGATGTCTCTGCTGCACCAGAATTACTGCGTTCCCAATTCAACTAAACATTTCAATAATCAAAAACTAATTTTTAAATACATTTATTGTAGAATAATCTAGTAAAAAATTAAGTGGAATCGCTCTTTAGCCTTCAGCTCAGTAATTTTTGGCATGTCTATGCTCGGTGTCCCATTGGATTCCAGTAAATTCTATCTAAAAACAAATAACAGTGCAACGTGTAACGCTAACAGATATTGAATGACAATCATTTTTCTTGATAAACTTTCCTTTGTCCCTTAGGTAGGCCTAACACTAAGGGTAACAAAAGTAATGCTAGTTTATCCGATGCTAACATCAATCTATCTGATGCTAACATCAATCTGAGAGCTGAAAGCTAGCCATTGTGGCTAACTCTGGCATATTATGCGATGTGCATCGTCCCTTTTGAAATAAACAAAAATCTATGCAAGTGTAATGCCAGACTAACCAATGCTAATGCCAACTGATTCAAGGCTAATACCAAACTGTCCAATGCTAACACCTGTCTATCCAATGCTAACATCAGCCGATTCTTGAGTAATGCTAGCTTAACCCAGAGGTTCTCAAAGTGTGGGGCGTTCCCCCTATGGGGGGCAGCGTGCCATTGCAGGGAGGGCGCGGGATGGATGACACACACAGGGGGCGTCAGTCCAACTCTCCCTATTGTAATCCACAGGGGGGACCCAGAAAGTGTTTGGAAACCACTGGGGGGGCCCAGGAGAAAAGGTTTGGGAACCACTGGCTTAACCAATGCTATCGGCAACTAATACAATGCTAATGCTAGCCTATCTGTGCAAATGGACAGCAGAAGAAGTCAATCCAGTGGGTGACCACACAAGCCAAGCTAGTCACTAGCCTCTCCAAAGCTAATGTTAGCTAGCGGTGTCCTTGTCACTTGTAGCCCAGACTGCTCATTAATCAGATAAGTAGCTAGCTGCAGAGTGGATAAACTCTAGACACTGGCTAACAATTTGGAGCATCATAGTAAATGGGGCGGTAAAAATTGAAAACCTTTTTCTTCCACTGCATAATTTTGCACCATAAAATCCCAATAAAATAGATTGATGTGTTTACAGCACAGCACCGTCATATTTCACCTGCTTTACGACCTGAGAGGAAAAAGGAAAGCTCACCAGTTTAGCCACCAGTCCGGTGCTGCAGGCCACATCCAGAACCCAAACTGTCCCTCGGTCTCCGGAGAAGTTGGCCACCAGGAGATCAATGAGCTGATGTGGAGCGCGGAACGCCAACGTATCCACAAAGTCCTGCAGGGGTCAAAGTTCACAGAGGTAACACTTTTAACTCAACCCACATATGAAAGCTGGTTCAGTTTGATCCGATTCACTGAATTCATGCTGAGCATGTATGTGGTAACAGTAGAAAGGAAACCTCCAGTAGAACCAGATTCAGCCTGGAAATCCAGAAGTTTTAGTAGAATCAGCCTGCTGGTTGTCTCAGCAGCTCCACTTTGGATTTTTAATCTGCTCATTTTTTAAAATAACACAAAAACAACAACAACTTTCTACTTGTGTCTCATGGAATCAAACCCGAGTGCAGACAGAAGAAAAGGCCTGACCGATATTTACTAACTGAAGGAACAACGAAGCGATGCTAGGAAAAACAATCGACATGAAGAGAACAGAAGGATCTGAAAAGGAGGGGAAAACGGGCTGGCTTTTAACTGCTGGGAGGTGATTGGATGAGAACATAGTGCAGAAATAAAATATCACAAAAACATTGCAGTTCTTCCAGATATGGATATCTGGAAGAATATCCAGGACTGTTTGGAGCAGTAACTTTTGGCTAATGTAGTCTTAGCACTGTGAATGTCATGCTAATGGACAGATAGCATCATTAGCATGCTGAGTAGAATGCTAATCAAACACTTCATGAATTACTTCCTCATCAGGTCAGTGATTTAAAAATGTATTTTTGTTTTTATGTTTTGTTTAAAAATTAGTTTCATGTTAAATTTTTAAGTGGAATAAAGAAATTTATAACTGTTTTAAATTAACATTCATGCCAGAAGTTTAGGTTTGTGTTTGCTTTTTCCTGAGCAGCAGGTTTTCAGGGTTTCAGTCTTTCAGGTTTTACGTACGTTTCCTCCTCGCTGTCATAGAACTGCTTGGTCTGCTCTGAGCTGAATCCATTGCAGGACTGAAGGAGGTTCCTCACCTCTGCCAAGTTTCTTCCTTTACTGGACATGATGAAGCCAAAACCTAATCAATCAATCAATCAATCAATCAATCCTCATTATCAAACCTGCTCAGAAACAGTCACAGCTGTTAAAAATGGCTGTAAAATTTGCACAACAACTATAAAATCACAACAGGAAAATACTGTAAAATATTTAATTCACAGAAAACTTTGCAAACTGTCAATATAATGCTTTTGTTGTTTTTACTGCAATAATATGTGAGAATAATCGAATGTATGTGTTAAAACTACAAATGTTGGTAAGAAACAGAGATATTCTGATAATATGACATTCAGATGCTGGAAAAAAATCCATTTTTTTTGCAGTTTTTTCCTGCAGTTGTTTTTGAAAATACAAACCATATTTGACTTTATTCTGCACGTTTTACTGATTCTTGTTATATTAACATTTAACTTTTGTAGACTTAACAGATCATCAATGTAATTCAGCTGTGAACTCTTAAATCTATTATTCTATCATTTTCACAGGAAACCTCTGTGAACCATAGCTGACAGAGTTTTCCTGTAAAAACTTTTTTTACAGTGTAGGGTAAAGTCAAAAGAAGCTGAGTTTTCTCTGACCTTTAACCTCCAGATGTTGGTCGATTTGAGTTGTTCTGGTGTAAAGTCACCACAGCAGCATTGGGGACGTTCTCCGTCTTTGGTTTTACCTTCGGGAGCCTTGGGCGGATTCTTCCTCGTCTCCGTTTGTCTGCAGAGCAAACCGTCAGTGAGGAAAGGTGCAGATGTTGGGGGATGAGTCGAGACTCACCTGCGTGTTCCCGATTAGCTGGTTGGACTGGATCAGGTGGTTCTGACTCTGGTTCACCACGCTACTGGGTTTTCACCAATATAATCTTCAGTACCTTCAGGTCCCGACTCAGTCTGATTGCATTCCTTTGGCTTTCCAAAACAACATCCGACATGGCGGCGGCTGCTGATCTGCTGCCTCTGATGAGGAGGAAATGCAGCAGAAAACGGATCCAACTCAAAGTTCCTGCTTCGCTCAGGAGTCCAAAGCAGGACAACGTCCAGAAATCCATCAGGTTTATGTCTGAAGGTCCAAAAACGCCACACATTGGAGTTCAGTTGGGTCTGAGTTCTGGTTCTCAGGACGTGTTCATGTGTTTAGTTTCTTTCCTCTCCTGTTGCTGCAGGACTGGTGGTGGGAAAACCTCCAACACCAGCAGGTTCTGACCTGGCTGGTACTCTCACAGCCAGGATTAAGTTCACGTTTTAACCCGCTGTCCTCTCTCCAAGCGTCATTAGTTTCCATCAGAGGAGGTGATGCGACGCTGACTGCTGCAGAGAATGTTCAACCTTTTGACATTTATGACATTTTTAAGATGAACTTTTTGTTCCTTTTATTTTATTGATTCAATAATTATTTTAAAAATTGGTGATTTCATTGAAAGCAACAAAATAGTTGGATTTTATTTTAAGACTGTAGATACAGAACTATCAGCTAAAAAAACAGATTTTTTTTATCATGTTATTCCTAACAGGAAGTTCAACACTTCATGGCTCACTACTGACACCTGCTGTTGCATTGAAAGAGGTGCAGCCTTATTACTGAAATAAATCATATGTCTAAATTTATTACAACATAGCAGTTATTGTCTATATCACAATATAGACAATAACTGGTGAACCCTTTTTAACCATGGCGTCTATTTTCA